GAACACCACATGCGGGTCACGCAGGCGTGGAAGCTGATCTACAACAAGTCGATCACGCGCGGCAAAAAGAAGTGGAGGAAAGGTCATGGGCCCCATCTCCGCCACCCAGGCCATCCTCCTGGACGCTGGCTGGACCTGCCCGACGCCAACGGAGTGGCCACGACCACCTTGGGCAGGCGAGACCCATACCCAGGAGTGGCAGCTACCTCACGGTGGACAAGCCGACTGGGAGGACAAGCGCTACGACGTGGACCCTGCGGAGTTCGTCCACGAGTTCTGCCTGTCCCTCGAGAGGAGCCTCTGGAAGGACGCTGCCAAACATCCACATGGAGAAGGATTGCAACGCGGGGGCCCAGACGTCCACATAGTTGCCAACGAGATGGAGAAGTTCACGAGGAAGGGCCAGTACGACCAGTCGGCCCTCAACCTGTGCGTGGTCGCGGGGGCGCAATGGCCCAGAAGCCGACTCATCGAGACGGGGTACAACGCTACTCCAACCTGTCCGAGATGCGGAGAGGCCGACGAGACGCTCATGCACAGGGTCTGGCTGTGCCCCTGCAACCGCGACCACGAGGACTAAACGGATTCTGACGCCCTGTTGCCCGCTGCCCTGGCTGGAGCAGAGGCTGCCCCCGCCTACTGGCTCCGTGGCCTGCCTGCGTGCGCTGACACGCACCCGCTCTTTGCTTCATTGGGGGGGGGACGGCGGGTGGAGCTGGGTTGGGCGGGATCGGGAGGACTGCGTCAAGAGCGACGGCACCCTCACTCTCTTCGGAGACGGTTCCGGAGGTCAGTACAGTGATGACCCACGTCGCCGAAGAGTGGGGACCGCCTGTGCTGCTATGAAGTGCCTCTTCGGGGAGTGGGTCCCCTGGGGGGGAATAATGTCGGGCCTCGAGGGCCCCTTTCAAACTGTGCCCCGTGCAGAGCTGCTAGCTTTCGCGCTCGCCCTAGAACACTGGAAGGGCGACCTCTGTTTCATTACAGACCACCTGCCGCTGTACGACGGATGGCAGACGAATCGACACTTGCGCCCAGCGATGGCGCAAATCAGGACATGTGGGCACGAATTGCCACAGCAATTAGTGCACGTGGCACTAGTCAGCTCACTGTGATCTGGGTGCCCTCACACAGCGAGGAGTCACCTGGCCTAGCCTCAGACCCTGTGCGATTTTCACACTATCGGCAACGCGACGGCCGATGCATGGGCAGGTGTAGCGGCCCAACAGTCTTACGAGGCAGCGCTTGTAGGACAGGCCCCTCCCACTGACCTGCACGATGCCCAGTGCACCCTCATCCGCAGGAGGGCGCGCCGTGCCCTAGCTGACACGCTTGCAGTTGATCCGTGGGTCGCGGAGCGACCCTCGCAGGCCAAAGGCCCGCGCCTCACCAAGCTGCAGTTAGCCATGCAATCGAGCCAGCACGCCTTTGAGCTCAGAGCGGGCAAGTACCTGTGCTCCCGCTGCGGGCTCACCACAGACAACTGTAAAGTACGCCAGGCCCGTGCCACGCCGTGCACCCACCAGCCGCCTCTGCCGTCAGCCAGTGACCAGATAGTGCCAGTACAGGGCACTATCACCATTTCTGGGCGCGAGCTGCACGCCAGCCATAAGCTCCATATGCAGAAGTACCGCCTGTACTTCTGCCGCGGGTGCGGCAAGACGGCAACCGAGGACCCACGCCACCTTGCCGCACACTGCAAGGTCGAGAGAATCTCGCCAAACTAGACAAAGGAGAATACACGCGCGCCCACGCTGGGCGCGATGGCCTCACCAAGTTCCTGCGCGCAGCTACCCACGGCATGGCCGTGGAAGAAATTTCAGCTGCCTCTGCGCCTGCCGCTGCAAGCGCCGCTCATAGTCAGGGCTAGAATGCACTTGGCATCGCCCGAACAACGCACCTGGGTGCGCTCGGTCTGCTCCTCTGTTCCTCCTCCTCCTCCTCCTCCTCCTCCTCCTCCTCCTCTCCTCCTCCTCCTCCTCCTCCTCCCTCCTCCTCCTCCTCCTCGCCCTCCTCCTCCTCCTCCTCCTCTCCTCCTCCTCCTCCTCCTCCCTCCTCCTCCTCCTCCTCCTCCTCCTCCTCCTCTCCTCCTCCTCCTCTCCTCCTCCTCCTCCTCCTCCTCTCCGCCTCCTCTCTCTAATAGTCACTCCTCGTCTTCCCCGCCTCTTCCGCCCTCCTCGTCGTACACCTCCTCCTCCTCCTCCTCCTCCTCCTCCTCCTCATCCTCGTCCGACGCCCTCCCCCTTGTTCCTCCTCTTCCACAGACAAAAGAATCCGCCGATCACTCCTGACCGCCCGTGCGTGGCACATGGTGTTGCATGGCTACGTCTGGGGAATATCCCCACCGCCCGGCCTCAAAACTGCCAGCGCCATATCCTCGCACCCCTCGCATGAAACTACCAGCGAAATATCCTCACACCCCTCGCTTGAAACTGCAAGAGACATATTCTCACCGCCCCTGGCATGAACTGCCAGCTAAATATCCTCACCCCCCGGACTGAAAACTGTCAGCGAAATTTCCTCAACCCCCTGGCCTAAAACTGCCAGCGAAATGTCCTCAACCCCCTGACGTGCGAAATGTCCTTAACCCCCTGACTTAAAACTGATAGCGAAAAGTCATCACCCCATGGTCTAAAACTGCCAGCGAAATATCCTCACCGTCCTGGCTTAGCACTGCAAGCGGAATATCATCATACCCCTCAGCCAAATGTGCTCACCCCCTTGACGTAAAACTGCCAGCGAGATATCCTCACACCCCTTGCTTGAAACTGCCACCGAGGTATCCTCCACCCCCTGGCCTAAAACTGCCAGCTAAATATCCTCACCCCCTGAACTTAAAACTGCCAGCGAAATATCTGCCCACCCCTCGTTTAAAACAGCCATCGAAATATCCTCACACCGCTGGCCTAAAACTGCCAGCGAAATATCCCCAACCCCTGGACTGAAAACTGCCAGCGAAAAAGTCCTCAACCCCCTAGCATTAAAGTGCCAGCAAAACATCCTCAACCCCATGATTTAAAACTGCCACCGAAATATCCTGACCCCCTGGCCTAAAACTGCCAGCGAAACATCCTCACCCCCTGGCCCAAAACTGCCAGCGAAATATCATCAACCTCTGCCTTAGAACTGCCAGCAACATTTGCTCACACCCCTCGCTTGAAACTCCCAGCGAAATATCATCAGCCCCTGGCCTAAAACTGCCAGCGAATCATCCTTAACCCCCTCAGTGAGAACAGCCAGCGACATGTCCACACTGCCCATGGCCTAAAACTGCCAGCGAAATGTCCTCAACCCCTGACCTAAAACTGCCAGCGAAATATCCCCAACGCCAGACCTTACAACTGACAGCGAAAAATCCTCACATCCCATGGCCTAAAGCGGTCAGCCAGATAGCCTTACCCCCAGGACTCACAACTGCCAGCGAAATATCCTGACACCCCTCGCTTGAAACTGCCACCGAAGTATCCTCACCACCCCTGACCTAAATCGGCCAGCTAAATATCCTCACCCCCTGGACTTAAAACTGCCATCGAAATATCATCATTCCCGTTCGCTTGAAACTGCCACCGAAATATCCTCACTGCCCCTGGCCAAAACTGCCATCGAAATATCCTCACCCCATGGCATCAAACTGCTAGCGAATTATCTTCAACCCCGACCTTAAAAACTGACAGCGAAACATCCTCACTGCCACTGGCCAAAAACTGCCAGCTGGATATCCTCACCCCCTGGACTTTAAACTGCCAGCGAAATATGCTCACTCCCTGGATTAAAAATGCCATCGATATATCCTCATCTCTGGAAATAAAACTGCCATCTAACGGCTTTGGTGATTCAGTTGTCAGTTCAATCAGGCTAGTTCCCGAAAATCGATTTACGGGCTGCGCCCGCTATATATACACACACAATACATATACATATACATATACATATGCATATACATATACATATACATACACATACACATATACATATACATATACATATACATATACATATACATATACATATACATATACATATACATATACATATACATATACATATACATATATTCAATGTTAGTTAAAAGGAGAGAGTATAAAAAAAGGAGAACCTCGTTTTGAGAAGGAACGCCCTGCGTGCACGTAACTCTTGCACGCACAAAGCACCTACGCATAGACATCATGCCTTGCCAGGGTCATCCTGGGCCCTGGCAGTTGTGACACCCTCTCCGGTCAAGGCATAGAATCTGAAAAAGTGTCATGGAACCGCCATCCATGTGTAACTATTGCGAACGTGCGAGACGAATGTGTACGGCGCAGAGAGCGAGAGCTAAAGTTTGAAGATGACACAAGCCCTCCCTCCCCAATGCCATGTAACTGTTAGAAACTCGTAAGACGAATGTGCGCGGCGCTAAGGATGGAACCACAATTTGAAACGGACCCTACCGATCCGTAGCCGCTGGATGATTCCAGCTTGTGCATTCCAAGTGGTTTGGAAATGCGCGCACTCGAATGACATAGCAGCATGATCAAATACGATAGAGATCTCTTTCTGGAGGCCAACGTGGCCCCCAGTTGTACTGAATGCAGGGTGACCAGTAATTCGCAGCGTCTCGCCTGCTTGAATGTCTGCACCAGGCAACATCCATCCCCCCTGGAACAGGACATTACGAGGACACCAACTCTACACCTTGTTCCATCCTGGCCCGACCACCCTGGGCGCACGATCGGTGTATACGCCCTCCTGGACTGGCGAAGAGCGCAGGAGACACAGGTCCTCAGCCCTGGGCCCAAGATTGGCCCAGCCAGCACCAGTGTTGGTGAAAAGTCCGCGCCACTGACTCGGACTCGGACTCGGACTCGGACTCGGACTCGGACTCGGCTCCGCGCGTGTGGCGCCATGAAGGCGCGGCGGAGTGGGCGCCGAGGCGCCTGCATTGGAAGACATCGGCAAACAAATCTGCATGTGAAAATTATGCATGGGAGCGTCAAAGGAGGAGGAGGAGGAGGAGGAGGAGGAGGAGGAGGAGGAGGAGGGGGGGAAGGCATGACAGGCGGCAGCATCTGGCCTCGAGCAACACACCACGCACGAGGCAGCAGGTCGGGACGCGGGAGCGCGGCCGATCGGGCTTTTCCGAAACAAACGCCGGCGCCCGCGCGGGGGCCGGTTTTGCCGAGCCTCCGGGCTATTGGAAAAGTGCCACAGAGCGAGCCTGCTGAGCTGACGAGAAGGGATCGGAAAAGCAAAACGCCTTCGATGGCCAGTCGTCTGACTACCGGAGACGAGGGCAGGATACGAATACCATCGGGTACGAAGTGGAAGTCTGTTGGGGCCAGCATGTCCCGAGGATGAATCGGCTCTGGTGCTTCACCAGAACGCTCTGGAACGCTCCGAGAAGGCTCCATAGCGAGTTATCAGTTCCAAAGGCTGCATGATTGAGATGTTCAACCACCCACACCCTCATACCTCACATCCTCCTGCCACTTCTGCGATGCAACCCGTCCCTACACCTCAAATCCTTATGCCACCTCTTAACGCTCAGGGGTGGGGGGCAGTCATCCGGAGGTCGCACGCCCAGCTTCCATCGCAGAGGGCTCACGGCGCACGCGCCTCTCGGTGGCAGGGGTCTGGGCCCGTGGGGGGGGCCAGTCGGGGGCTGGGAACGTGGGGAGGATTAGCCCCTGCAGCAAAGTGAGCCCTCTGGCTCGCCCCGTCACGGCCCGCCACTCTGCAGCCATCACTGGTTGCCACCCCGAGCCAGGCAGAGGAGAGTGAGGTGAAGGGTGAGAGATGCGCGCCAGCCACCCCTCGGGCCGCTCTGGCGTGCGAGTTCGTTGCCTTCTCCGTCCTCGTTGCCCGTCCACGACACATGTTTGAAGGGGCCCTGGGATACACTAATAAATACACACAAATAACAGGATCCCCCATCTTTTCTTATATTTTCTGGGTTTTTGTCTTCCCCCCACTTCCCATATTTTCCTATATTTTCCTGGGAGTCGACGATGAATTGTGTCTGTGTTTTTTCCCCTCCCGATCATTGCCCGTCCACGACACATATCACCCCTGGTGACGGCGGGCTGCCATCGGGACTCGGGCTGTGCTTCCACCGACGCCATCGCTTGCACGGCGGAAGAGGCCCTCGGCGAAGCTGGCTGCAAGGACACCAGGCCTCCCCGCAGTCAATGTCCTAGTCTCCTATTTTCCTCCACCTCCTTGAGTTCATCCTCCCCTACCTGCCTCTTCTCCAACTTCTCTACTTCCTCCTCTTCCTCCTCAATCTCGTCCTCCTCCTCCTCCTCCTCCTCCTCCTCCTCCTCCTCCTCCTCCTCCTCCTCCTCCTCTTCCTCCATCTCGTCCTCCTCATCATCATCCTCCTTGCTGCTGCTGCTGCTCTGTTGTCCCTTGCCCTGCTGCCATGCGTCCCTCCGCCCCTTTTACCCTTCCTCTCCAAACCGGTACGCACTCGGGACCGCGTGGCGCTGCCATGTTTATGAGAGCGCGAACGCGCCATCGATACGGCCAGCCACGCGAACCGATAGTGCCTTTGCGACGGGCGTAGCGAACACTGCGGCCACAGCCAAGCAATGCAGCAAGGATGCAGCACCTCATCGAGGTTACCCCTGCATACTTGCCTGCTCGGCCCATTGCTCTGGCACGCCGCCGCAGCAGCTGCTCCTCAAAATTAACGCCCAGAGGACACGCTGGCACGCTCTCTGCGGGGGGGGGGGGTGGCATCCCGTCGGAGGAGAGACCGTGCGCAGAGCCCATACGCCGCTCGCACTCGAATCCTCCCGAGGACTATCGCTCCCGAGGCCTCCCCGTACGAGGAAGGAAGCCCACCACCACTGAGCATCGTTTAACCGATCCCTATTCCAACTGGCGTGGCATTGGTTCCACTGACCGACTTACCCACCTTGATGGGGATATATGAGGCCTATCCCCACTTAGGAGGGTGAGCTGGTGGATCTGAGATATCATGGCCCTTTGGGTATGGGGATAGGTTGGACAATTCTGATGGGCCACCTCCTCCTGACAACATGCTTCAGCTGAATCGCGAAGTCGTGTCAGATCCAAGACGGATCGAATCGCCGGCGGATCGCCCCGACTCGAATCGACATCCGATCGCCGCGCTGGCTCCGGCTGGCCGCGGCCGATGCCGAGGCCGATACCAACGCCGACGACGACGACGACGACGACGACGACGACGACGACAACGGGGATCGAGCCGAGTCGAATCGGATCGGAATCGCGGGCCCAGCCCGCAAATAGAAAATCGGAAGTCTGAGGCGGCCCTGCCCTCGGGAGGTGGCGCGAGAAGCTGCCGATGCTTGCGGGGTATGCGGGCGCGCAGGGGCGCCCTCGCGAAGCGCCCGAAAGGGGGGTGCACACCGCCACCGCCACCACCACCGCCACCGCCGCCACCGCCCTTGGCCCTCACTCGGGGGCCCCTCCCCCGCGGGTGGTGGTGGACGGTCCTCCCTCCTCCAACGTAGGGGCCAGCCCACGGCGAGGCAGGGAGACGCGCGCGCACCGCCTCGCCGCTCCGGCCCCCCTTGTGGCGTGAGGGCGGGGAGGGCAAGAGGAAGAGTGTAACTTGAGGTGGGCGAGCCGGAAGATGAAGACGATGAACGAGGAGGGCACGGGAGGGGACGGGCAACGAAGGCGGGGGGGGCGTTGGGCCCTGGGTCCGACAGCACGGTCAGGGATCGGGAGCGGGAGATGCCGTGAGGCCTCTGGCATTCGGTTCGCCCGCGCCTGCCAGCGCAGCGCCAGCACTCGGAGCGAGCATCAAGCATCAGATCGTCGGCAATCAGTCTCGAGGGGGCTCACGGTGTAGCCGCGGCTGGCCTGCTCTGCTGCGCGCATGCCAGACTACACGTCGGATGCCCAGTACAACTGCGAGCAGGGAGCCAAAGACACCATCATAAAACATGACCGCGGGAGAACCAGCAGAAGGAGTAGAAGGGGAACGAAAGATCGGCGTGACGATGTACCTTGGCTGGACAGCGCTTCAGGTAACGGCACATCGTCAAAAGAAGGACGCACCGATGACCTGCCACATGAACGCGCCCTGTGCGCACAAGTACCATACTTCCTCCCTGCACGACGTGTGCATGCGCAAGCCTCCGAGGGGTACTGCCTACCACATGCAGATGTTCCGAACACATTTGCATATGATGCGAGCTCGGGCATGTGAACCCTGCTTGCACGCATGCCATGTTCGTCCGACTGCTCTGCTTCAGTACGATAAGTGAGAAATCTGAACGTTACCATGTGCTTACGCGTGAAGGCGTGCCTTTGCTCATATGCGCACGCTGCGGAAGATGATTATTCGCCACCATACTGCGAGGGACTTGGTGGAGTGTCCTCAGCAACTCCCTGCGAGCTCTCTGCACTGAGTGGCCAAACCCCCGTGTTCAGGGCGCTAGTGGGCGCTCCAGGGCTGAGGGGGGGGTACATTATCGAGCCACGTGACTTTTCCACGGAGGCGCGGCTGCGGGGGTACTCGGACGTGTTGTAACGGAGGCCTCTCGGACCGTCTTGGACCAGGCTAAAATTTCTGATAGTCTGGGCCAGGCTGAAGCCCTGATGGAGGCCTCTCGGACCGTCTAGTCATACTGTGATAGTGCTGCCTGAGTTTCGTATACTCGTTCAGCCAAGAAGGTCCAGGACGACACAAGAGGCCTCCGAGACCGCCCCAAGAGAACCCCGGGGCGCCAAGGAGAGCCCCAAGAGGAGCCAAACAGGGCCCCTAAGAGATGCCCCAAGGGGGGAACTCGGACTAAAGATTCGGAGCCCTGCACCTCTGAGACCGCCAGAAGGCCCCTTAGGCCCTCAAGAAGTTCCTCCCATGAGGCTCCCGGGAGACCTCCAGGAGGCGCCGAAGAGGCCTCCAAGTTACCCCCGAGAAGCCTAACAAGAGACCACCAGAGGCCCCCAAGAGGCTTCGTGCCGATGGCCCATGGATGGTGGCGGCAAGGGCAGCAGGCCACTGCACAATATCACATGAAGACGACAGCACAGCACATGACGCGGAATCCCGCCCTGGCCGTCCTGGCTCGGTCCTGCTGTTCTCTTATATGTGGGGTAAGGGTGGCGTCCATGCTCTCACGGTCGCCCACGTCGTCCTGGCGAAAGATGCATCCATCATCATTTTGATCCTTGTGATAATCAAGCTGCTGATACTAATCCGTCTCGCTATGATCCTCCCCCTTATCACAGCAATCACCACCCCCGTCATCCTATCAGCATATCCTGTCTTGTGCTTACCAACAGCACAATCAACATCACCAACAACGACGACGACGACGACGACGACGACGACGACGACGACGACGACGACGACAACAACAACAACAACAACAACAACAACAACAACAACAACAACAACAACAGCAGCAGGAGCAGCAGCAGCAACAACAACAACAACGATGACGGCGACGGCGACACCGACAACGACGACAACAGCAACAACAGCAACAGCAGCATCAACATCAGCATCAACAATAGCATCAACAGCCACAAAACAACAACCAGCAACAACCACAACGACGACATCATCAACAACAATCAGCTCAATATTGATCGTTGCTTCGCTGCTCGCGTGACATTTAACACGTGTATCTCAAACCATCGATACCCGCCCTTTTCGTCTTCGACTGTCGACTGTACCCCCTTAGGGGCAAATCTTTCTTACCTGAAACATGTAGGGGAAGACAGGACGGATGCAAGGCAGGGACAAGGGGGAGGGAGGAAGATGGAGCACGAGAGAGAGTAGCAGGAGGGGGACTAGGAGCAGAAAACAGCTGGCAGAACCAGACAGGCAGATCGGGCGGGTAGACCCTAACAGGCGGGTCGGCAAGGCAGTCCCAGGCGGCCAGGTCGAGCAGGCGGGTTGCTGAAGCGTACGTCCTGCATCAATCGCGACGAAGTCTCGAGCGACAGCGCGACTCCCAAATAAATCGTGAGGACTTCCACAGCGAGAGCGTGATTCTTGAGTGTCGAGGGCGCGGCGTCTGAATAAGTTGCGAGGAAAGCCCACGCGAGAGCGCGATGTCTGCACAGCGTGTGAGGTCGTCCCGCGCGAGAGCGCGATTTGGGAATAAATTGAAGAAATATCAGGCGGGAGCCGTTGTTGTTGTAAACAGGGGGCCAGGAGCACAGTTTGGTGACACCTCGATTTCCCTTGTAGAAAGCCAGGTGCGAGCCCCGGGGGAAGCATTTTCAGAAAAATGCAATGGATTCCAGGGAGGGGGATCAACAACAATTATTATTTAGACATGAGAACGTTGCCAAAACCACAACAACCACAACCACAACCACAACCACAACCGCAACCGCAATCACAACAACAACAACAACGAAAACAACAACAACAACAACAACAACAACAACAACAACCACAACGACGACGACGACGACGACGACGACGACGACGACGACGACGACGACGACGACGACGACGACAACAACAACAACAACAACAACAACAACAACAACAACAACAACAACAACAACAACAACCACAACCACAACCACAACAACAACAACATCATCATCATCAGCATCAGCATCAGCATCAACAACGACGAAAACAACGACAACAACAGCAGCAGCAACAACAACAGCAACCACAACCACAATCACAACCACAACCACAACAACAACAAAACGACGACAGCCACAACAACAGCAACAACCACAACCACGACAGCAACAACAGCAACAGCAGCAACAACAACAACACCAGCAGCAGCAAGAAAGACGCCAGCAACATCAACATCAGCATTTCATCATCACCAACAGCATCATCATCACCATAGTTGTCATTGTCAGTATCATCATTGTCAGTATCATCGTCGTCATCATTAACAGCATCATCTGCATCATCGCCGACACCATCATCTCCAAACCTGTTATCGCCATCATCCATAGGTGCGTCGTCCTTGTCAGCATCGCCATACTCATCATCGTCACCCTGACCATGACCACCAACATCATCATAACCCGCCCCGCCATCACGATATCTCTTCGTGGATTCCTCACCATCATCCTCCTCTTCCTCCTCCTCCTTCCTCCTACTTCCTCCTCCTCCTTCCTCCTACTTCCTCCTGCCTCCTCCTCCTCTACTTCCTCCTGCCTCCTCCTCCTCCTCCTGCCTCCTGCTCCTCCTCCTTCTCCTCCTCCCCGCTCCTGAGGGAGCACTCGCTCCGCCCACCCGCACTCACGAAGAGCAGCGGGGACAATGACGGCCCCGAAGGTTACCGGATCACCGTCGGCCGACGTCGGCTACCATCCCCCTGACGCTGCGCTGCCACCCGCCGCTCTCGGGCGGCATCCTGCGCGCCAGCGACACTGCCGCGGCCGGCAGCGGAGAGCTCGCAGCCGCAGGCCAAGCCAGTCAGCGCTGGGCTCCCAAGGAGGTGCTTTGAGCACCACCAGAACAACGCAAGCACTCTGACCTGACGAATAAGCCGCGGAAGTATCGCCTCAGGGCCTCCCGGGCATCACCTGAAGGTTGTGAGGAAAATCCTAGAGGCCCCGCGCGGCAACTTCAGACCCAATGTACGTCGGATTCACATCGGATTTGCGTCGGGTTTCCTTCGGATCACGTTGGAGTTACGTCGGGTTTGCGTCGGATCCACGTCGGACTCACGTTGGAACTTCACTGCGCGAACGTCGTCCTATGTCTTACAGAGCGGACGTGCGGACTAGATAATGTAACGCCGCGCGAGGTCGGCACCCTGACCTCCAGGGCACCACCTGAATCGGAGGAGGGCCAGCTGAAACAACCGCGGTGAAACAACGATGGCCCTCCCGTGCGGCCACAACCCCTTCAAGATCGGAGCCTTGACCCCTCCCAGGGCCCAAACGCAGTGGCCTTCCGAGCTGGGCTCAGCCGTCGCGACCGAGGGCCCCCCCGAAGGCCAAAAAGCGACCCTTGCCGCAGCTGGCCCTCCTCCGACCGCAGGGACTCGAACGACCCGCACGCAGACCAGACCCGAGCCGAGTCCACCCGCGAGCTCTGCGGGCTCGCGGAGCTGCGGAGGCTGCGGGGCAGCCCGCCCGGCCGCGGGCGGCTCCCTGCGCCTCGCCGGCGTGGCCAGGGGCGGCTCCCTGCGCCCTGCCGCCAGCGCGCCCTCTGGGGCAGCTCACGGGGGCCTCCGCCGCTGCCTTGCCGGCTCTTGCGAGGCGGCGCTGGCCGACGCCGATCGACGCCAATCGATGCGAATCGACTCCAGACCGACGCCAGTCGACGACGGCCGACACGAATCGAACGCCAGGTCAGCGCCAATCGACGCCAGACCGACGCCAATCGGCGCTGAATCGGGCGCTTCCTCCTCGAGTACCAGACGCTGGCGGATGCGGGTGCACTCCAGAGACGGGGCTGCGAGGACACACGAGGCCCCCACGAGCTGCTGCCGAACAAGAAGCGGGGTCGAGCGAGCGGCTGCGCTCCGCCCAGCAGGGCGGCGCCCCTGGGCAAGCTGTAAGGCCGAACGAGAAAGCGGCACGCCGTCTGGCGCGTGGAGTGCACTCTTCAAAGACGGAGCTGCGAGGACATACAGTCGGGGCCTTGACCTAAGGAACTCTAAAGAAGGAACGAGGGCCCTTAGATCCACGAGTTGAGCTTCGATTTCCCATCGAAAACCAAAGGAAAACACGAGGCAAACTGTGAAGCAATCAAGGAACACGGAGCCCCTCCCCAACGATAAGGGTTTCTTCTTCAGGGCCCCGACTGTACAAGGCTCAGGTGGCGACGTCCAAACCCCAGCCCCGCCAGCCAACCGATTCTCTTGAATCGATGGGAGGCGGGGTTTTCAGTGCCTCTTGGGGCGGAAGGCTCGCAATTGTGCAAAATCTGGGGCCCATTCTTAAACGCCTCTTGGGGTCATCTTGAAGCCCTATTGGGCCGTTTTGGGCGCGCCTTGGGCAGTCTTGGGGCCCTCATGGACTGTCTTGGGGCTCTCGTGGAATCCTTTTAGGCCGTCTTTGGACGGTCTTGGGAGCCTCTTGGGCCATCTTGGAGCGTCAGACAAAGAACAAAGCGGCAAAGCCTAAATTCATTAAACACCAGTGGGGCATCACAGATTTTGACCACTCCAGGCTCTTGGCTGGCGTCTTTGATTTTTCAGTGCGCTCAAGGGAACTGCGTGGTTAGATCGGACAGAAGCTCAACTGCAATGCCGCATCCCGCCGAACTGTCGTCGACGTCGTTGACCCATCTCAAGGTCCACGGAACCAGCTGTAAAGCCTTAACAAGATAATCCCGTGCAACTAGCAGGGTAAGGCGCCGAGGAGGCGCTTGCTGGTCGGCCAGAACGAAGAGGAGGATCCTGTAGATGCTCCAAAAAACTGCTGTGAAATGCGTAATGTTCTCGTCCTGCTCCTCATCCTTTCCCTCATCGCGCTGGCCGCGAGCAGCCTGCGAACGCTCCGCAAGACAAAAGCTGGAACCGGCTGAGCCTCTGCTTCAGCGGCAGCTGTCTCAAACAAGCCGTCTTCTGGCGCAACGCAGCTGCTCCACAGAGCACGGCGCGAGGCGCAAGGACACAAATCAGTCAAACTGAGGTCCCGCCATCCCAGCTTCATATTATCTCGCCTCTCTGCCCTACCCCCTAGCTATATACATAATCGAGCTTGGCGCAGGGATGCGACTCAGCAGAAGTGTGAGAGCGCCGGCTCACCAAAAAGGCAGACGTGCTCGAGCTGTCGCCGAATGGAGACCGGAGGCTCACTTCGGAGTGTCCTCCTCCTCCTCCTCCTCCTCCTCCTCCTCCTCCTCCTCCTCCTCCTCCTCCTCCTCCTCCTCCTCCTACTACTACTACTACTACTCCTCCTCCCCCTCCTCAACAGCACCCTTTCCCTCCTCAACCTCCTTCGCGTACTCCTCCCTCTCCTATTTCTCCTCTTTCTTCTCCTACTCCTCCTTCTCCTCTTACTCCTCCGTCTCCTCTTTCTCCTCCTCCTCCTCCTCCCGCCCTTCTCCTCCTCTTCCTCCCCCTCCTCCTTCCTCCCTCACCTCCTCCTCCTTCTCCTCCACTTCCTCCTCATCCGGCTTCGCGGCAGCGGCGGCGGCGGCGGCGACTGCTGCGACAGCGGCCCCTCGGCGACGCCGCGTCCTGCTCCCTCGCGCTCACGCGCGCTGGGCAAGGATGGCGCCCACCGTCTCGGGACCGTCCGCGTCCTGGGCGCGCGTTCGGGTTTCGGGCAGCGGCGGCCCCTCGCGACCACGCGCGCGGGTGCCGAACGCTCCCGCGCCCGATGACGGAGTGGCGGAGGGCGGGGAGGTCGGCGCGGGCGGGGGCAGCGGAGAGGGAGGAGCGAGCGAGGAGGAGGAGGATTCTATTCTATTCTCCCCCATTGCGTCCCCCGCTCGCCTTCATGTGAACTACACCTCTGCTGGCAGCAGCTGGGCCCTATGGTCGCGGGGTGCTAGCGGCCACATAGACGTCATGTCCCTGGACCGCTGTCCCCCAGCGTGCGAAACGTCACAACGTGAGAGAGGCACGGAGGAGCGCTGGCACCCATACTGCCGCTGGATGGCCACGGGGCACTCAGCCCCACCATCTCTGGACAGCGGGGCACTCTGATCAGTATCTGAGTCGCCCTCAATCCCGAATTCGCCAACGCTCCAAACTCAAAATGTGCCTCCATACGATTCCCGACAGACATCTTCGGAGCTCGTCGTCAGATCGAAAGTAGAAAGAGAAGAGGAAACAGGGAAGGCCGTCAGAAGAGAAGAGGGAGTGGAAAAGGGGTGGGCCTGCTGGGCGGCGGCAGCAGGCAGCACAGGCGGCCTCAAGCCTCCGCGTTCGGGGCGGTGAACTCGCCCATCTCGACCAACGAACTCACCACCGAGCGGACGTTGGGGTTCCGTGACGGGGCCCCCGAGCGCAGTTCCACCTTCGGTTTCATACCAATGGCGCCCATCGCTTCCATCTGCACCGCTCGGAGCTCTGGCACGACCATCACATTGATTATCCAGAAGTCCTCGCTCCACTGCTTCTGTCGGTGGCATTTCCGTTGGAGGCACGTCAAGACTTGGCCTGTCACAGAGCTGCACTTCTCGTGGTACACTAGCAGGGTGGCCTTCTTCTCCTTGGGAACGCTCTCGTCCTTCGCGATCTGCGAGATCAAACAAATCCAGCAGCGTTCGTGTGTCGGCATCATCGACTTGATGGCGTCGAAATCCTTCTGTTCCTTCAGCTGTTTGCGCTCCTTGTCGTAGTTCTGGCCAACCTCCTGGAGCGCCCTCAGGCATGGGTGATCCTCTGTCACCAGCGCGGTGGTCTCCAAGCAGCCCTGAAGGCGGCGCATGTTCACGTCCAAGCCCACCACCGTTTTGGCTGTCGCCACGCACAGCTTCCTGCACTGCTCGTCTGAGCCCGTCTCGCCTACCGCTCTGCGCTTGGTCGCTGTGGGTGTTCCGCTCGTCATAGCGACTGCCTGTCTCTCCATCTTCTTGGCCAAGAAAGTGTTCGCGAACGTGTAAGTGGGCGTCGGAAAGAGTAACAAACGACTGGTCGCAAAATGCGCACTGCAAAGCCACGGGTGACTCCAGAGCCGAAAGAAGGCCAGACGGAGGACCAGGTCGCTGGGCACATCTGGGCGGGCGTTTGCGTCCACGGGCCACGCAGTGCAGTCGAGCGTTCGCCACCGTCGCAAAAATTCGAGAGCACCAGGGACACTGATTGGTAAAAGGCGCCCGACGATAATCATTGCAAACTCCGCGGGCTCTATACTCATGTACTCGCAGCTGTTTCATCGTGGCAAACGACCGAGTGCACAGCACACCATTCAGGGAATGTTCACATTTGTAGATATCAGACGCGTAGGGCAAGGCGGGCGGGTAGGTCTCCTGTGGCTCCCCATATGTCAGCAGGTCTTTCGGAGGATCGAACTTGGCAGGCTCCTCAAACAAGGCAAACCAACCTCGAGCTCTAAGGGCGTCTCGTGCGGGTCTGTGATGGCGTCCTAGTTCAGTCAAGTCCTTCCCGAATTGCTTCAACCAGGGATTCGCGTGGTGGTGAGGTTTACCCCGTCGTGCTAGTTGGCTTTGTCCCTGGATCTCTCCCGTCAGAACTCCCAATGAGACTTTATGGTCCCGCGGATATCTGGAAATGTGATGCAGCCATCGAAGCCGCCTGTACCTCAGGTTACTCTGGGTCGTGGGAATCCGAAGACGTCTACGTACTTCATGATTTGGCAGAGTTCGACAGAACGTGACGGCCCCCTCCGCGTCAGCGTGCTTGGTCGCGCCCTCCCCCATCAGTAGTACACGCGCGTCCTGTGCAAGAAACCCATCTACGTGCGCAGCAGCATGATCAGACAGAAGCCAGGTCTCCCCTCCAGACAAGAACGTGTTGACGACCATTCCCTGGAAGACGGTTCGCTTGACATTCCGAGGGGCGCGACTGGTCCAGAATTTCCCCATCGCGTTCCACCCCATCCTTGCGGCTTCCTGGCGTTTTTTTCAGCTCCCAGGTCTCGCGCCCATCAAAATGATGCCAGGCTCCCAGATGACGAAGACAAAGTTTCGGACTGCCCTGAAACTGGAGGTCCTGCTTTTTGTAGAACTGCTGCATAGACTGATGGGAACCCTTGCCATACGCACGGAAAAGCACATCCTTTTTGTCAGTGTTTCGTTGCAGACCAGTCGGCAAACTCACGTGTTCAGACAAGGCGCGATCCCACTCTATAATTCGAGAACTCGCCATCTGAGCATCTGCACACAGTCCGATCCGAAACATGTCATCGGCGCATGCACCGTGGCCGAAATTCACGACTGTCTGAGTTACCGGCTCACGTACATGAAAAAAGCTCTGGTCCTCCTCACTTTCGGTGGCGGCTATCCAACGGTCTACACACGGGTCGAGAACGTTAATGAACTTATCTGGCGCGGCAACGTCACCCTGCAAATCCCCACAGCCTAAAGACATCAGAGCCCACTCTCCAGAGTCCGCACGTAGAAAACAAAAAGCTTTCGAGTGTCTCTGCATCAGGAGGCCCGCATCCCCACCGGGCAGAGCTGAGCGCACCACATCATTCAGCGCCTGGTGGTCCACTGATGCAAAGGCGTTAGCCTGGTCGTAGAATGGGGCAACCCAAGCCAGTCCTCGACGAGCGAGATGCCACTTCGCGATCTTCACCTGCAGGACTGTCTGTTCCCGACGGCGGCGTGGTTTGAATCCAGTGGAGTTGTCGGAGCCGCAGTCCCTGCGTCGTGCCCAAAGTTGACCAGCAAAGGCCTTGCCCACTGGGTCGAGCAGGTGAACCACGCGTTCAGCCTTGCACTTCTCCTTGTTATTACCCTTCTGGACTCGACATCCCGAACTGACCGCCCAGATCTGAGGAGTCTGGTGTACATAGCGGACGAGATAGAGAAAGTGTTGAAATCGACTCTGAAATGGCCCTTGACGTTCGCAATGTTTGGGTTGGGCCAGCGCCAGAAGCCAAGCCTCTCGCGGAGCAGACCAGCAGGGAACGGCACGTCGAGCTTTGGCCTTCCGTAGCCTATGCAGGACCCCTAGATAGTCTTCCTGCGCACGAACATAGTACGGCATGCTGTCAGATCCAACAAACTGTTCATGGTGCATCACAGTAGAGGATGGACCGCTTGGCATCGTCTGGGAGGCGTGAGGCAGCGGATGATCCTGCTGGTGGCCAGCTAGGGTGCTCGAGTGCCCTTCCGAGACGCCCGCGGGTTCCCCACCAAGCTCCCCACAGGAAGAGGCGACCTGGGCGGGAATGGATGGGCGTGTGGCCTCTGGTAGTGAGTGACCCTGCGGATGTCGGATATGCTGAGCCAGGCGGTCGAGATGTTGACGTCGGGCGTCGGGATCCAATGGGGTATGCATCACGAGCTGCATGATCTGGGGGTCATCCTCTGGGCCGCCGATGTGAATGGGTGAAGCCTGCATGCCTCCCTCGGGGCCATCCTGACCCATATGATGTATCCATTCATCCAAAGTCGGGGGATGTGTAGCTGTTAACTGAAATCGACGTTGTTTGGGCCCCAGCTTGGTACCAGCGATCAGACGAGAGAGAGCCCAGACCTGATGCCAATCATTCCGATGTTGTGCTTGTTCAAGTTCCAGAGCCCAGGCGCCCCTCACGCGCCGAAAGTCCCTCCTGCGAAACCTTCGAAGATATTTCTGAAAGAGGCGACACTTGTCCAGGAGATCTTGTGAGACAGGCTGATTGGATTGAACCCGAGCACGCACTTCCTTGTACTTCTCCCGAATGCGAGTGGTGCTGGTGTCTTCTCCCCGACGGACATGACCAGGGGCGCGAGTAAAGAAACGTTGGGCCTGCGTCAGCAGCCCCTCTTGCAAAAAACTGAGAGGAACCGTCCACATCCCCAGCTTCACGTAGGTGTCGAAGGCGTCTGATGGTGTTCTCCTGCGTTGCCCACTCATCGATGGCGGCCACAAAATCATCATATATGGGACCTCCCTTCAGCCAGGCGAACATATATCTATCATAATCCCAAGACTGACGTTGCGTCTCCGCAGGCTCATGCCACGAGCGAGTGAGAGAATCCATCACCAGGGGGGCATGGTCGGCGTTGCCAGCGGCATCAGAGAGTTGTAAAGAACGTCCCGTGCGTCGCCAAACACGAAGAGTGTGAATCTGAGCCAGCATATTCTTCGGAATGGCAATATAATCTATGCGGGACCGTGACGAGCCGCGAAAATAAGTAGCACCATAGCCCTCGGAATGGTATGTATTGGCCAGACACAAATGATGGGTATTGAGCATCATCCTCCAGTGCGCAGTATGTGAGTCTTCTCTGGCGGCACCTCTGGGACCGATCGCGTCATTCATGCGTGCATTGTTCATGTGGGTCCACTGGCCGCCGACATTCTGGAGTCCACTGTGAAAGTTCCCGTCCATCGCCAGGATCGGCGTACAGCGTGCAGGAAGCTGTGAAACAACTTTGCCGATCCAGTCAATCAAAGCATAGCAGTGAGCCCGATCCTTCTCCGACTTAGGAATCAGCAAGCCATACGCAGTGATGAAACAAAAGTCATAGTGACCCGACCAGCGATATCGAACCGCACCTCCTCTGCCCTGAAGGTGGTCTGGGGGACTCCAGGCCTGGACAAACCGTGTTTTTCGAAAAAGATGAGCGTCCAGAGCCAGCATGCATCCAGTGCTGGTGTTCGTCCCCTCCTGGTTCTT